TGACACATGGTCCATCCCAGGCTTCTGCCTTCACTGAGAAAGACTCCTTCTCACAAGTAGGACCCAAAATGGATACAAACTCCTCTGCTAGCTATAGATTTCCCATCATATTTGCCTTGGGGACAAAGGTGTGGGGGGGAGTTGGATAATGGTGACGTAGGATTAGCAAGATGTACTTTGGGCTAGATAACTCAATGACCTTTTCAGAACTGCCCCACCTGCCTCTTCCTTGCTGAGGCCTTCTTGGTTGTTGCTTAGGCTGACAATTGAGCTTCTTAATTGTTAAATTTGGACTGGTGGGATGGAAGTACTGATACATATACTTTACTCATGTCTGTGTGTGCTTCAATATTGCTGCATAGTCAGTCCAGTCTGTTATCAGATGATGTTCTTGGGAATATGCGTTGCTGTGTTAACATTAGAGGACTGGACCCCATGAAAACTCTAGTCTGCTGAGCTGACATCTTGGCCATGAAGTGATGTAGCTTGTTTGGTGTGCAGAATTTGCCTTGAGCTTGACTGAACTGGGTTGGGCTAGATCCATTCTTTTAGTAGTTCTTCTCTTGGGTAGTTCTTCAGACTTTAAACTGCTGAGTCTTAAAGCCATCGTTATCTGGTATGATAATTAGCGTTGGCCGAAATCCTGTTGCATAGCCATGTCTGTGTAACTTTAAGTTGCAGGAGCTGCTGCCAAAATTTGCACCTAGGCAGAAGTTGTATCCAGGATGCAGCTCCATGGATGCAATTGTACACTCAGTCATCAAATCAGTTGTGCAACTAGTTGCATGACCAGTGGTGCAGTCAGTTGTACAACTAGCTGTATAAACTGTTGCACAACTAATTGTGCAATCAGTTGTTCATCTAGTTCTGCAATCAGTTGTGCAACTTCCACAGTCAAACTCAATAGGGTGAAACTCCCCATGAACTTCTGCAGGTGTAACTTTATACTACTCCAAATACAAGAGGACCACACTCTTTGTGTGCTTGTTGTGTGTGTGTGTTGTGTGTGTTTTGCACACACACATGATAATATCTTGAACAAATTGTGCAGAGCTTGAAGGGGAGGATGAACACATGGTCACGTTCTCACTCTGGAGGCCAAAAATCTCAGGTGGTTTTAAAATTCCTCAGTACTTTTGTCATGTTGAAATAGCCAAAATGGGCAAGAATGAGGAATTTAGCAAATATTCTTCCCATAGCTACTATTTAATGGCCGTGAAATCAATTCTGTGTTTCTCACTCACCTCCTTATACAGTGCAGCTTTCATGTTGATCCTTGCTGTTTTCTTGATGTTTCTCAAAAGGCTTATTGCTGGTAACTCTGCAAGCTTATGGGTGAATATCTCTGTGGCAAAAAAAGGGAGCCCAGGAATATTCTCAGTTTTACACTTTTGGGTAAAATGGACAGCTAACTAGTTATGGAAAAAATATGTATTTGTTCTTTGTGGTGCCAATTCCAAGCCTTTCATTTTATTATGTGTATGTGAAATATGATCTGGACACTATGCTTGGCAAACCAAAGACCCAGGTCCAAATATAATCCCGATGTTTGTGCAACTGCTAGGGTCCCACACATGAGTAGGGAAAACAATCAGGGATGCCTCCCCCAATACTCACATCAAGCAAGTCGATTAAGAACTACCTTCTAAAATTTTGCACAATGCCCCTAATGGAGCATGACTTGGTAGGGCGGTGTTCAAAAATTGAAACAGCGACTTGCAGTTACTGTAAGTCCATGAATGCAGGGGCGGTTCACCAGTGGGTGGCCCTGATGACGGCAGAGATGGAACCCACTGTTCCTATTCTCCAGAACAGCATGAATGGCCCAAGCTATGTCCTCAAATCTTCTTCATGACATGTTGGATGACATTCATGCATCTCACAGCAGTCGATCATAGGGTCCTATGGCCAAAGTAGTTGTGAAAACAGCTGTTTAGCCATGATTCCATCTTAAAATGGTTTAGCCATTATTCCATCTCATCAGGGCATCCTTCATGTTGCATGTTTTCAGGGGAAAGGTATAAATGTCTCACTTTAGGCCTTGATAAGTGTATATTTATGGATCTCACAATATATAAAACTATAAAGAGGTATACAAATCTTCGTATAGTTTATTTCAGGGTAAAATGTTCTTATCCAAACCCAAATTCTATCTTCCTTTGTTTCTGTTCCAGTGCAGAACCTCTGGCTACTTCTGTGCTTGCTCAAACCCAAACTGCTTTATCTATGTTACCGCTCTTCTGCGTCTGGTGGAACGGCAGCTGATTTGCTGTCTCACCGGCCTCAGGAGACGGCTAGCCCGGCAATGCCTGTCATCTCTGAACCAAAGCCATTAAGGATTAGGAAATAAAAGGAAGACATCAGAACCCCTGGTGCGGAGTTCAGAGAAAGGTGGAGAGCAAGGACATAAATAGCACTGCTTAATACTTAATAGTTACACGGTTGCCGGAAAGCATCTGATGGAATTTTCTTTCTGCCTTGTAATTAGCATGGAAAGGGCTCGTGTACTTGCCTTCAGGTGGAAGGAGAGAGAACTGGGGAGGTAGTTCTTTCCTGCTTCACTTCATATATACATATATGTGGTTATCCAACTCTCTCTCTCTCTTTGTGTATTTGTATGTGTGTGTGTGTGTGTGTGTGTGTGTATACACACAAACATACATATACACATACACACACGAGTATATATATATACACACACACACACATATATATATATATATATATATATGTATATAAGTATACATATAAAAAAAAGGTATCCCCATTTTTTTGTGTGTGTGTGTGTGTGTGTGTTGGATATATAGTGTTGGATAACAATATCCAGTAAAGCACTTCCTTGTTGCGGGAAGCAAATGGACCCTGTCAGCTGAAATGTTGCAAAATTTCCCCCTGGACAGTCCAAAGTCTCCCATATTTGCTGCTGTGTCCTGAACAATGTTCTTAATTGTCTTTACTTCTCCACCATCTGGCTTCACACCTGATTAACTTGAGTTATTGGCCAGCTTCTCAGGGGAGATGATAAGGATCAGGGTGGGAAAAGGTTGTTCCTTTGTGCTTTGTCAGTGTGTGTATCTCGAGTGGGGACTCTATTGATCATTTGCCACTTGAAACATCCTCCGAGTGGTGGATTCTGTACGCCACTCCTTTAATGTGTAGCATAAGAATACAAAGAATACACCCACAAGTATTTATTCTTGACTCGATAAGCTGTCTTGACATTGCTAGCCTCTGTGAGAGTTCTTGCCTCTAGCACAAAAATAATGCAAGGAGCATCCAATTTGGGTGGACATCACCGTGGTTTCCATAATTTGCACAAATGTCTCTACACAAAGTGGTTGCCTTCTCCATTTGTGATGTAGAGCAGGCACATGCACACACACACTGCCATTACAGAATGAGGCTTTGAATAATCAAAAAGAAACACACAGCCCATCCGGTGCTTCCTATTTTTGTAGCCAAAGCTACAAAGAAGCAACACCGTTTGGGTTTAATCATCCTAAATTTTGCAATATATATGCAGAAAACATTTGCTTGCTGATGTGAGCATTCTTAAGAGCACCAGGAGATGTGTCACCATCCCACAGGTAAAGAGACCGTTTGTTTTTTTTCAACTGTGTCTTTTTTACAAAATCAAGGCAGGTGGGGATTTACATTCCTGGAGTAAAGCTACCACTCACTGTTTCCTGATGCATTGTGCAGACTTTTTCTCACCCACTCCTACCCACTGTCTGCCTAGAAATGTGTATCACAGGTGATGAAATAATTAATGTGATGCAATTCAATTATAACAAGCAAGCCAACAAAATTTAGCAGTGGTCAACATGCACTTATAATTCATGAGTGCATGTTGACTACTTTCTCACCAGATTACTCATAAACATGTCTAAACCCACTTATAAGTTCAAACATAGGCTGCAGAAAAAACATGCTATGTCATACAAATCATGACCGTCTCTCTCTAAACCAGCCCTTCTCCCCCCGGGGCCCCTGGTAAATTTGAAAAAGGGCCACACACTGAAAAATGTGAGAAATTTCTGAAAGATATCTCTTTGTGTTGTACTTGTGTTTGCCAGGATGATCTTGGAACTGGATAAGAGTTCCTAACAGGATTACAGCCCATATAAAAGGTTGAGAATGTCTGCTCTAAACCTCTGATCAGCTCAAGACAGAAGCTGGTCGTTTCCCCCCATCCACTTCAATCCTTCTTTTTTCCATCTTTTCCTTGCCTTACCTGTGTAATATTGAGAGTCTATAAATATGCATGCAGGGCCATTTCTTCCATTATTGGCATTGAGACTGCTACTTTGGGAAGCAGATTTGAGATGTCGTGAAAGGGCAGGGCATTTTTATTTAATTTTATTTTTTTTGTTGTTGTGTTCCTGCAATCCGGAATGGGGAGAGGTGACCCACGGTTTTTTTGGGGGGGAGGTTGGCCTTATGGAACATATAAATACAGAATCCATCCATAACTGAGCAGTGCTGGGGCGTTGCTCTAGAATCCCAAAGTTGGGGATAGCTTCAGCATGCCATTATATTTATTCTTCCTAAATGTAACATTCCAAGCTCTGTGAGTGGACCCAACTAGCTTTGAAGACCATCCACATGGAGTCAATGAGGAGCAGTCAGTTAGTTATTCTACCTCAGGCAGCAGAATATGTTGGCCTGGCCCTGTCTGCATGATTTCATCTCCTCACCCCCAGCCCAACCTAGTTTAACTGAGCCAACCCTGCTTTTATCCTGCCAACTGTCCTATTTTGTTCACAGGATTTTATCAGGGGACCGAGATCAAGATGACATTGCCTTTCATTTAAAACCCTCCATTGTTTTCCCCTGCTTCTTCCATCACTTTTCTTGCCAGAAAAATCCACTGGGGGCCATGAAAGAACCCTTCTCTGGTTCCTTTTCAGTAGCCGTTCTTGGAACTCTTCATCTAGATCTACCTTTAGCAAAGTGGACCACGACTGATGTCCTTTGTGATGTTGTTTTTCTCATTGCAGTTTCCTGCTTCTTCAACTTCACTACCCCTTCCGGCATCGTCCTTTCCCCCAACTATCCCGAGGAATATGGCAGCAGCCTGCACTGTGTCTGGTTAATCATCGCGAAACCTGAAAGCCGGATCCACCTGGCTTTTAACGATTTTGACGTGGAACCACAGTTTGACTTCCTTGCTGTAAAAGATGGTGGAACGGCTGAATCACCTGTATTGGGGACCTTCTCAGGCAACCAGCTCCCATCTTCTCTGACCAGCAGCGGCCATGTTGCCAGGCTGGAATTTCAGACGGATCACTCCACAGAGAAAAGAGGCTTCAACATTACATTTACCAGTAAGTGGATGGAACATAATTGCTCGAGCTTTGCTGGCGGATATTGTACAAGTCCACTCTGAGCATTTTTATGTATCTATGGAAAAGAGGACTGGAAAGGACCTACAATGCATATAAGGGAATGCTAGAAGCAGAAATATATGCTAACACTGCTTAGTTTGAATAAAAAATATCTCTCTCTCCCAAAAAAAGTTGAATGATGGCTGCTATGTTTAAAAATTTAAGGCACTGGATGTGTCTTTCTTAACTATCAGCTTCTTCTGTGTTTGGTTTGTGTGTTTGTGTGTGTGTATGACAGGAATGATAAACCACTTCTGAGTACTCTCTACCTGGAAAGCCCTGGAAAAAAAGTTGCTCTATAAGTCAGAATTTACTTGATGGCACATCGTGATAATTATTACCATAAAGGCAGAGGCTGGGTTTTATTTCACTTTTTATATTCATATTTTTAATTTAGTTTTAGTTTTCTTTAGTTTTAGTTTTTAGTTTTGGGGACGTGGTGGCACTGCAGGTTAAGCCGCTGAAGCCTCTGTGCTGCAAGGTCGGAAGACCAGCAGTCTTCGTGTGGATCAAATCCACACGATGGAGGGAGCCCCTGTCACTTGTCCCAGCTCCCGCCAACCTAGGAGTTCGAAAGCATGCAGAATGCAAAAATGCAAGTAGATAAATAGGTACCACCTCCATGGGAAGGTAAATGGCATTCTGTGTCTAGTCACGTGGCCAGGGAAACGGTCTACGGACAAAACACTAGCTCTGTGGGTTGGAAACGGAGATGAGCACCGCCGCCTAGAGTCGGACACAACTGTACAAATTGTCAAGGGGAACCTTTACCTTTTTTCTTTGTATTTCTCAGAATCCACCAGGCAGTAAGGCCACTATAGAAAGAAAGAAAGAAAATTCCCACATGAGAGTCAGGAGGTACACTAAGTGCAAAAAGCCTCTTTCAGGGCAAGGAAGCTGATTCAGGCTGGGGGGGGGAATGTTGTAGGAAAATTCTTAGCTTTCTGCAAAGCTGCAGACTCCATGAACCCTCCACTCCTAAAAGCTGAATTTACTCTCCCTTGAAAAGAAAGAAAGAAAGAAAGAGAGAGAGAGAAAGAAAGAATCATAGTCATTTCATCCAACTGCACCATTGCTTTTTAAGGCTGAGCCCGAACTCCTGACCCGGCTGAACATCTCCTGTGAGAGCTGAGGAAGGCAAAAAGTTCCTGAAGATCAGAGAATTTGCCTGCCCTGCCTCTGTGACGTCACAAAGATCCACCCCGTGACACCACTTTTGGTCCCAGCCCTTGGCCCCAGGTTTTGGCCCCGAATTCTCTGAGACTATGACGCTGCCAACCTGGCAAACCCTGGACACATTTGGTGTTGTTTTAAGCCCTCTGCTAATTACATGGGGCGGTTATTTCAGCTGCTTTTGTGGACTTTAATGGAATCCGCCTCTTAATAGCAAAGCACATACCACTGGAAGCAGCGGCAGCAAAGGTCAGTTTGCCATCCTATTTCCACCAAGGTGTCCTTTGACAATGTGATTCATAAAGAAAAAGATCTGCAGCAGGGTCGACTGTCTTGCTCCCAGGAAGAACCCGTGTCCTTTCCCAGAGCTCATTGACAAAGCACGTCCCAATTGCAGAAGGCTGCTGAATGTCTCTTGCTGCTGCTGGATCCTATTTCTTGGCTTTCCTTTCCACTGAAGCAGAGTTCGTAAAAGCAGCAGCATAAAATAACAGTGCTGCTGGAAAGACAGCTTAAAACAAAGCCGAATACGCACAGAGTGCTCCACCGCTTGTCTAGATGGATCCTAACTAGAGATGGGCACAAACTGGAAAAACGTCAAACCCCTGAGCCATGAACCATGGGGAAAAAAAATGAACCGGTTCACAGTTCATTTTTCTGTTTTGTGCATGGGGGGAGGCAAACCTAATGCCACTGCCCCACCACCACCACCTCCCTATTTGGTCCTACTGTCTCCTCTTCTTTCTCTGCCACCTCCATCTTCAGAAGCAGGAGCCTGGCTTCCCTTCTGGGAGGTGGGTCTGTTGACTTGGTGCACACAGACACCTATCAGCTGAAAACATCAAATTATTTTTTAAAAAATAAGAAAACACTGATGGTGCTCTGTCTTTAGCATTAGCATATATCTTCCTCGGAAAGAAAGCCAGGTAAAGGTAAAGGTTCTCCTTGACGATTTTTGTCCAGTCGTGTTCGACTCTAGGGGGCGGTGCTCATCCCCGTTTCCAAGCCATAGAGCCAGCGTTTTGTCCGAAGACAATCTTCCGTGGTCACATGGCCAGTGCGACTTAGACACGGAACGCTGTTTACCTTCCCACCGAGGTGGTCCCTATTAATCTACTTGCATTTACATGCTTTCGAACCGCTAGGTTGGGGGGAGCTGGGACAAGCGACGGGAGCTCACTCCGTCATGTGGATTCGATCTTACAGCTGAAGATCTATAGACCTTACAGCACAGAGACTTCTGCCGTTTAACCCACAGCACCACCATGTCCCTCTTTGAAGTGCCAACCTAGTTGCAAATGTAACGAGTTACTTCTGAGCTCTTTTGGAAATAAAAGAATACTTACTGATAGCTGCAAAAAATGTGATTTTTTCACTTTGCCATCATGAATATTTATTAAATTCTGATCAAACGCTGCCAAGATTACAATCTAAACTTGGCACACCTTCAATGTACTGTACTCCCTTTCAGTCCCTGTTGATATACCCACAGAACTTGGTTGCATGGAACAAAATGAGCCCACAAATTATTTCCAGATCTCCTAAATTCAAGCCGCTCATCGTCCGATTGAATGCCAGCTTCCCATGGCAATTTGCCCTTGCGCAGTTCTCCTATAATTTTCTAAAGAACACGATTACATTGGCTTGCCAGGCATGATGAATGACCTTTGTTATAACAGTGGTTAAGAGCCCTGCAAAATTAATGGTGTTTCTGGTTGGCGATTGCAAACCAGCTATTATTAAAAATAATTTGCCGTACCCGATTAGGGGACAGGTTCATCAAAGCCAGCTCACCTGTGTGTTTCCTGCCTCCCCCAGGGGCTTAATACCTAATGTTTAAGATTGTGGATGCTGGATTTGTTCAGGGGCTGGGAATGGGGAGGTTATTATGGGTCACCACAGGGAAGGAGGGATTACAGCAGATCTGGGTGTAATTTAGTTGCCATTACAAGTTTGGGGTAGGGAGAGTGATTTGATTAGGTGCTCACAAACTTTTCTCGTCTATGTGAGGAATCGTAGATTGATATTGCAGGTAAGGATTCAACCAGAATTCTCTGGGTTTGTTCTGTTCTAGTGTTTTGCCACCTATTTACTAGTACAACTTGGTTGAGTCTCTTCTTTCTCTAGATAACAATGGGCAAGATGTTCCGTTGTTCTGTTTAAAAATAATAGAATTATAAACATGAAAGGGACCCTGCATTCCAGAGGTTGGAAATCCCACCTAAAACATTGCTGGCCAATGGCCAGATAAGAACTTAGCAGTGTTTGCACATTCATTCATAGCAGAATAGAAGAAACTAGACCTTCTTTCTTGGGGAAAGGTGAGAGACTTAAGATGGAGCTGTCTAGGGTGTCAAGAAGAGAAAAGTAGGAAAGATTGCTCCCATCCTCTCTGGTCAATGGAGGTTGCCGACCATACTCGTGAATCTGCTTTTGATGTTAATTTTATCAAGAGCTATCAGAGGCACTGAACCTGTGCACAAACTAGCTTCAGTACTTCAGACAACCATTTAAAAAAAGTTGAGACTAAAACTCCACACAGATTCATTGCTATGCAACCCTGAATTCATGAGCAACCACTGTTTCTAGTTGGGGCCCAATCATTTCATGCAAATCACAGTCTTCACATTTGGCAAAGGAGAGCCAGAACCATCACAAAATTAAAAAGGAAGACCCATGTTGGCTGGAGCAAGTGCTTTTTGGAATTTTTCCTCTATCCGTTTTTAAGGAAAGGGCTTGTGCTCATCCACCTTCTTTTGGCTTCCTCCCAGCCTTCAGACACAATGAGTGCCCTGACCCAGGTGTGCCAGTGAATGGGAAGCGATTTGGGGACAGCCTCCAGTTGGGTAGCTCTGTCTCCTTCCTGTGTGATGAAGGATTCATCCGGACACACGGCTCGGAAACGGTCACCTGCGTCTTAAAGGAAGGCAATGTAGTTTGGGACAACGCAGTTCTAAGATGTGAAGGTAAGTTGTCTCTTGACTTGAGTCTTTATTGATTATCCTAAGTACGGAGTGGAGGTGCTTGAAGGATTTGATCATTACGAATGTTGACACAAACTGGTCTGGCCTGTATCTTCATAATGGACAAACAATTTGCACACTTATCCCAGACAGGACAGAGGCCATGGCCACACCAGCGAAATGTCCGCCTGTGGTCACACAACTTTTAATCATGTTCCTGTCGTGTTTTGAGGTCACATGACATTTATTCCAAGATGTGCGTCCCAATGTGTTTTTGGGTTACCAAATCATTTCCTTCCAATCCATTAAGTGCCTGGAGCTTCTTGTTGAGACGGTTAGACGGAAGTTAACTGATGCATCAACACAAATACTGTGGAAATATTAAAAAAAAAATAAAAAAGACATACACAGTGACAGTAGTTCAAAAAAGTCAATATGATCATTCACACATGCAGCAATGCAACATTTTTTTTAAAAAAAGATTCACAACAACACAAAAGGAGAAGCCTCCGGCTGAGCAAGAAATGATCCGCAGTTAGCACACTTGCCAAGTAAATGATTTTCTAATGGCCATGTGTCATCTGATTGCAAATGTAAATTGTGAAATCAAAAGGGGGAAAACTGGAAAACATTTCATTGGTGTGACCACGGCCACAGTTTCTCCCAGGTATTTGAAAACCGTAACAGGAAATAGAGAGCCAGCCTGGTCTAGATATTTATACTCTTTCCAAACCAAGGAGATCATAAGACGAAAGAAACCTCATGAGCATTTCTCTCCATCCCCATCACTAAAATGACAATAGCAAAGTAAGTAACAATTTGCTACTCTTTCCTGACATTCCTCTGACTCACCCTGTTTGATGGCAGGGCCAATCCTGTCCTCTGTAGGACCCGTCTTTTTATGAGACTGGCTTGGATTGTAATAGAAACTTTGTTTTAATGAATTGCTGTGGTTCTGTAGGTATATCCAATTGTAAGGATGTTCTTGTTGCATGTGCTAGGTGTTGTGTTCCTTTTCAATACTTACTAGCACTGTGTGCTTTAAATTAACCAAATGGGGACAAAATACTAAAGAAGCACTTCATTTTCAGAGCCTTTTGTGACTTTACAGTGGGGAGCCTCTGAAATACAATAAATTTGATGTTCCAAAGGAAAGGGTAACAAATCTCTTGGATTACATTCAGATTTCCTCATTCAGAAGATCTCAGTGAATGATTAACCTGTTGATGCTTCTTTTTCTTTTCTGTACTGTTTCCTGCTGATGAGGACATGATGTGATATAAAGTACCTGCTGCATAGAAAGAGTGATTTTTTTGTTTGTTTCTCAAGGGCTGTTTTGAGTTGCTTGCTTCCGGATTAGATGATTTTCTGTTGCCTTGACCATGACTTTTGGAGCAGTGTCTAGGGAAGGATTGCCATCAATTGGAAGCGACATGATGGCAGACAATTGTTATTGTTAGATGGTTGTGCCTTGTTCGGGTTGCCTTCCTACTCCGGTCAATGTATCAAGGCAGCTGGCCGAGAAAGGGAATCCACAGGAAACAATGATGTGTCAAAGAAAATGGTTTGTTTTATTTATCATGCATGTATTTGTTAAACTTCTTTCCTGCCCATCTAGTGGCAGGCTGGAACTCTGGGCGGCTTCCAGCAAAATATAAGCATGAAATGAAACTCCATTCCTACAGCTCAACCCCATAAACAAACAAGTGTATACACATCCCAGGATGGCAGCAACAATAACATAAATTAAGAGTTAAATAATAGTTTCAGTGGAGAGAGCTGGGAAAAATAACGATGTTCACATGGTGATGAAACGAGATCCCCAGGAGAGGATGGACAGAGAGGAAGAAGAGTAGCTGGTTAGCTTATCTCCCTTCTTTCTCGCAGTGCCAACTGGAGCTTCTGCCACCAACAGTCAGTTAGGCTCCATGAGACTGGCTTAAAATTTCATCCATGTGTTTTGTTTGCTTTGATTCCCCGACAAGCAGAGCTGAGCAAACACCCTTGAGAGGAGATTTTTCAGGCTTCAGGGACTAGTGGACAAGCGTGGTGACAGTCCCAAGCCTTGGGGAGGAAAAAAGGAGCCACACAGCTCCGGAGCTTGTCAGACTAAGCTGTGGGAAGCCTCCTAATCCATACAGCCAATAGCATAAGTAAAGGCTTTTATGACAGGCTCTGCTAGCTATCCTGCTAAAGCTTTTTTGGGTGTACACGGTGACTTGGGTGGAACCCCTTTCCCCCACAAGTGCTTTATGTGCAATGCAAATTTTGCAAGAATAGTTTTGGAGAGCAGACAACCGGTCTTGTCCAGCATTGCTTAGATTCTGACCAAGAGTGGTGTGGGGTTTTTTTGAGATCTGCTACCTAAGGTGCTTTTACATGTGGTTGGGTAGGACAACCCTACATGGGTGAAGCATCTGATTTCGTGAGAGAGAAGCTTTGGAGCGGCACAAGCCCTGGATTACAGCTCCCCTTCAACGCTCATGCTAAGTTTGGCTGATGGCAGCTCCAGAGATGAAGCTGCTGTTTCTGAGTTGGAACACAGCAAGCTGGCTTCACCTGTGTTCAATCCCTCTTCCATGTAGCCCAATTTTTTCAGCTTCGGTTGACAGCATTTCTCCAGGTTTTACAACAGACATGTTGGGGAATGAATTTGAAATTTTTGTCTGTGCAAAGGATATGCACTGGAAACCTCCCTTCGTAGCCTTCTGTATATCTGGAATTTATGCACTCTGTCATGATGGAGTTCGATTTTTTTTTAAAATCTGCCACTGCATTCTGTGCCAAGGACTGAGCCCAGATAAAGCAAAAGAAGAGTTAAAGCAATGGAAAATTAAAGCCTCTGATATACCAGATTCCACACCCCCAGCCCTTTCTTCCAGAGCTATTCTAGAAGCTTTCAAGTTGTCCATTGTGGGAAAACAAAGTGAAATGAAAAGAAGTCATTAGGAATTTGAAAGGCTTCTGCTCATGCTCTGTTCTCAGAGAAAGATGCAGGCCAGCGATATCCTGGCAAGCGTTTGAATACAGACATGCTAAAATCTGGAGAAGTAATTCCAGTAATTGGCAGTCTCTCTTTTTCAACATCTGAGGGACATCAGAATAGGTGGTTGGAAAAAAAGTGGAAAGGACAGGCAGGGGAGAGGAGGGGAAATGTAGAGTTTTATTGTCTTCACTAGACAAGGGCAAGCCAGTCTTTTTGTGCCCAGAATAGGAAATCAAAATGGAACTCAGATCATGTCCCTCCACCCTCTGAGACAGAAGACTGGCACCCTTCTTCCCCTCTCCTCCACACCAGCGCTGACCATCTTTTGTCTCACTCTGAGAATTAGTCAGTGGTTTAGGTATGTGGCCGCGGAGCCGGAGGTTGGCAGTTCGATTCCCTGCTGTACCCTCAGTGGTTTAGGTATCTGGCCGTGGAGCCGGAGGTTGGCAGTTCGATTCCCCGCTGTACCTCCTGGGACAAAAAGCCAGCCTGTGTGGCTTTGGGCATCCTGCACAATCCCAGGGCAACCCCAGAAGTAAACCACTTCTGAATACTCCCTACTTAGAAAACCCTGTAAAGGATCACCATAAGTTGGAATCGAAGGCACACAATTATTATTAGTTGGCTGGTGAGTTAGTGAGTTAGGCACACAATGCTTTATTGATCGCAGTTTGGTTTCATCGTGTGGAATTCTGGGATTTGTAGTTTGACAGGGGACTTAGAACTCTCTGCCAGAGATCTCTAGAATCCTCCCCTGAACTACGACAGAGAATTTGAAGGATCCTTCCAAACTACATGTCCCAAGATTCCATAGGATGGAGTTAAAGTGGCATCAACCTTTTACAGCTGTGTAGTCAGACAATTTTTATTCACTCGTAGGACAGAAGAGAGTAGGCCTAGGAGAAAAGTATTTGGGTTCACATTTTAATGTATACATAATTTCAAACTTCTGATCCAATAAACAAATGTAAACTTGGACTGTGAAATTCACACCGCTTCAAATTCTGCACTAGAATTCACTGCACTATCTCTCTCTCTCTCTCTCTCTCTCTCTCTCTGCAGTGTGTTGGGATCATTATTTGCAAATGTGTTCATACAAAATTATTATAAAATGCCACCAAAAATGTCCCTAAATGTTCAGCTAAATATATATATTTCTAGGGTTCAGAATAAACCAGATTTAAAACAGGGGTAATTTTCAGTAGTACAATAGGAGTTTGGCTTTTTCTTTCTTTCTCCTGTTTCACTTGTGTTCTGGAAACCATCAGTACTGCTGGGGAAAGCTTGTGGCTTTGTTAATTTGTGTATTTTACTTTAAGAGCCTGCCCACGTGAGCATTTGTCCTGCTGTTTGGTGCACTGGTGGTCCTTTTCCCAGCATCCACACATGCACCTCAGAGGAGCAAACTAATTTGCCCCAACTCACGCCTTTTTGAACCCCTGTTAGGGGGTTCCTCCATTTTGATGTGGGTTGGGTTCCAGCTTGCTCCATTCACAGTGAGTGTGGTCACTTGGAATGGACTAAAATACAAGGGGCAATTTCCAGTATTCTGAAGTGGCTTCTATTAAACACTTCCCCTGATCATCTGCAGATAGTCATGGGAAGTGAATTTTTTTTATTGTGTCTGTTTGGCTAATGCAATGAATCACTTCAATTAAAGTATTTTTCTTTGCCTGTCTGTGTATTGCCAATTGAAACCATAGATGCAGGTGGATTCTCAAGTGGCAATACACAGACAGGCAAAGAACAATGCATTTTTTAATTTAACTGAAGTGGTTCATTGCATCAGCGCTGACCAAGTAGATGTAAAAAAAAATTAATTTGTCTTCCCCTGAACCTCTGCAGATGATCAAGGGAAACATTTCTTTGGCAGTGGAACAAGCCAAAGATCAATACATTGTTCAGATGGGAGGAGTGTGTCAAATGGCACATTTTTCCTCCTCCTGACCTCAGCTGACCCTTTGTAGCCCAATAGAGCCCACACCAAAAATGACCAGTCTGGGCAAGCCCTAACTCTGTCATGCACACACCACCTTTAGTTGCAAAGGTTTGATACTGCATACATCTCCCCATTTGCTTTTTAAGTGGTGAGATGAGAAAAGAAAGAATACCAGCAAAAAAAAAAATTAAACAGCTTTTCATCTTCGGAAAGCTTTGATAACCCCACTGCTATTAACATGTACTCCTTTATCGCCCATCTCTTTGGCTCGCCTTTGACTCACCCTCCAGTGTGAGCTCAATTAAATGGGAGCCCTAATTAGCTTCCTTTTTTTAATTAAATAAGAGCAGAAAAGGCTGTCCAGAATACTTAAAGTGCTGTTTGACATTTACAATAACAATAAAATAATAATAAGCGGAACAGGCCTGGCAAGGTGATTGAGATTTGTTGAGAAGATGGGAAATCAGAGCTTCTAAGAGTTCCAAATCAATCAAAACTTCGGGAGCATTTGGAGATGGGTCCTTCAGCAAAACATCTGAGAAAACTCAGGGAAGATAGAACTTTGTCCAAAGAAATAATTCTTTTCTTCTTCAAAGACATGTCAGTCACCTCCAGCCTTTCATCTGATTTTCCCCCACAAGCACAACATTTGAATGAAATGTACAATTGCCTTCTTGTGTAGGAAAAGGTCAGCCAGAACATTGAAATCAGTGACACTTCTCAGGTGGGCCTTCACAGCTGAGTAGGCGGACCAGACCATCCCCGTTCTGAGAGATTTCGGAGCGCACACCCAAGAGCAGAAATGGCCTTCGTGATGCCACCAGACATGGGGCTTTGTGTAGTATCTGCAAAATAATGTGTCTGCATTTGTGTGGGGAAGAGTCAGTGTGGTGTAGTGGATAGAGTAATGTGGGCTAGGACTTTGGAGAATTGGGATCAAATCCCCACTCGGCCATGGCAATGGATGTGGGATGTGACACTGGTAAAACTGCTCCTTAAATATCTCAGTTACCCTAACTTAGGGTTGCTGCAAGTTGGATGTGACTGGACAGCATGTAACAAACACACAGTAGAAACATCAATGGGGATAAGGTCTATCCATAGACATCATATGCCATCATATCAGAGGAGTTTCCTGAGTTCATTTATAGGAAAGAGACCCATCTTTTGAGTTGCTCACTATAGAGCAAACGGCGTCCCAATCCACACAGCCTCAGGCCTGAGCAGGCATCCTCAGCTGGAGCCCTCCAGATGTGTCTAGACTACAGCTTCCATCATACTTAGCCCACGTGACCAGTAGTAGTGCTGGCTGGAAACTGGAGGAGTTGTAGAAGACATCAGATGGCAGAAGGGTAGCTTAACATCACTACAGTTTGGGGAATTTCAATCCCTAGTTTCTTCTTATAACCATTATTTTGGTAAATCGGGGATGCTTCTAGGAGCTGCTGTTAAATCGACTCTACAAATTTCCTCTCCTGTCCTGATGATCCATTAGAAACTGATGGTTGTTGGTGGAGTCATTTTGGTCAGGTAGGGTCATTTCTTCATAGGAGAGAGATGCCAGCCAGCGAGAACAGAAGTCTTGCCACCACAAAACATGCCGGTGAAGTACATGGCAGGAGCAGGGCTAGTGAGGGTATCCCTCAGGAATCATAGACTTCTAGAATCATGGAGTTGGAAGGGACCTATAAGGCTATCCAACCTCTGGGCTAGTGAGGGTATCCCTCAGGAATCATAGAATAATAGAATCATGGAGTTGGAAGGGACCTATAAGGCTATCAAGTCCAACCTCTTGCTTAATGCAGGAATCCAAGTCTAAGCAGATCTGACAGAGGGCGGTCCAGTTTTCTCCTAAATGCTTCCAGCGTTAGAGCGCTCACCATCTCCTGAGGTCACTGTTTCCATTGTCTTACTGCTCGAACTGTTAAGAAATTTTTCCTGATAGTCAACCAGCAAAGATGATCAATAAAGTGTTGATTACTCTATTTGTCATGACCAAGAATGGGGAAAGAGATGCCTGTTGGGTTTTATTTTATTTTGTTTTACCTCTTTCTGGCTGTTCTTCAGAACTTGAGTGAAAAGAAAAGATCTTGGATTATAAATGGGCAACCTCTTGAACAGGTGTCTTGTTTTAAATACCTAGGCATGGCCCTGCAATCCACAGGGGACATGAATGCCCATATCCAGTATGCAGCCACCCAAGGGGAAAAACAGCAAACACCATCCTAAGGTTCTACCATTCAAAAGGGGGTTGTTATATTCCAGCAGCCCAAAAACTCTTTCAAGCAAAGGTAGTCAGCCAGATGCTCTATGGCACCTTTATGGGGCCTTCACCCAGTAGTTTTGACCCGATAGAGCGGGTTCAGTCAAAATTCCTTAGAGCAATACTTGAAGTCCCAAGATGCATAACGAATGCACAAATCCGATTAGAGACCGGCTCACTAAAAATGGTAGCCAAAATTGTACTAGCCTCCCTTCAGTACTGGCTTAAAATAAACTTTCAATCACAGGGATTAACACACCTACTCCTAGAGGACAACTTCCAATCGAGTGAGTGGTGAACATTTCCTGGGGCGCCAGAATCCCTTGAGGTCTGTCAGGAATTTCAGCCTTTCTGGTTAAACATTCTCCCTACAGAACATTGTGCTCAGCCCCCATTCGTGGTTCCTTCCTCAGCAACATCACTCCTTCGGTTTTCCCTTCTCTTTCCCTTGCAAAACCTCTGGAGTGACGCCATTGGCATCACCTTCAATCTGGTTGAAGGTGAATAAAGAAGAATTAGTCTCATCTCTCCCCTGCCGCCCCCCCCCAGGTTTGAAGGGGTCTGTTGCATTTTTAAAAAAAAATATCTTGAAACAGAGAGAGATTGCTCAAAGTGTATTTCTGTTAGCCAGTTAGAGATTTTTTTTCTTACAATGGTCAGATTTGTGGCTTTTAACAGATTAAATAAGTGTGGGGGTTGTGAAACTTCAATTATCTGTTTGTTTTGATGAAGGGACGAGAATCTTCATAAATGTGCAGCGATATTATGTTTCATAATGGAAAGCTGACATTCATTTTTCAAAGGAAAATATTGCATTTTTTTTCTCATTACACAGGGAATGCATAAATATCCCCTACGACAGTAGCATATCACAACCAATATATTTTTGAAATGAGGAACAATTTCAAGAGTTAGCAGTTGCATGAAATGCGTAGATTGGAAACACGCACAGGCTGAATTTCTGCTCCATTAAGGTCATGCTTCTGCCACCCAGTTTTAATTTCAAAGCAGGATTTTGTAGTTTTAAATGTCATCGCCCAAAAGTTTTGATGACCACTTTAGCACCTTTAAAGATACCAGGTGCATTTCAGTGTGAGCCTTGATGTTAATATTTAGCTGTCGAAGGATTAAGAAATCTGTAAAAGGGAAACAATGCATTTCTCCCCTCCTATTTTTTTTTGTTTTGTTTTTGTTTTTTGGACAAACATAAAAAAAAGAAGGGACCGTAAGGCATTTAAAGAGCTTGGATCAACAATTTACAAAGAAATACATATTTAATATTTCTAACCCTTCCTGGATCAACAGGTTGCAAGACAGCATACAAGGAATACAATCACCTTCAAATAATCTAAAATAATGCAAATGCTTGGGGGGGGGGAACAAAAAAGATTAAAACAGTGTTGGTAATTACATTGTAATTAATTCCTTTGTGCAATAATTAAGCCCTAAGTAAATTATACTGGAATTGTAATTTATTGGCCGAATTCCTGTTTAGAGGCGGGCACGAAACGAACCACGATCTAAAAAAAAAAGTCAACAAACAGGGCTGGTTGGCGGTTCGTTTCACCACCCAGTTTGGGGAATCCTGTTTTGCCAAAGCAAAATGGAAAACTAAGTTTTATTCTCTTTAGCGTTTCGCTTGCTTCAGCCAAAGGGGAATGCCCACCCCTTCTCACCATCCCCATCACCTCCACCTACCTGCCACTGCCACAACCACCATGCCTCTGAGCATGTGCCAGGGGAGGCAGGGGAGGTAGCAGGGGCAGGCAGCCTCCCCCCCTTGGCACAAACCGAGAAAATGATCCGCAAACCAGTTCATTTTTCTGGGGGCTTGTGGTGGTTTGTGGTTAGTCACAAAGCACGAACCATCACGAACTACCAGTTTTCCAGTTCATGTCCATCTCTTACCCTGTTGCTTAAGGTAGTAAATGATAACTGGAGAAGGTGAGACTCACCAAATCTCCACTTTTTCAGTAGGCCTACTCTAGTTCGACTTACTACACCAAGCAATAGGATTTCAGCCGATGAAAGGTAACCTCGCTTTTTCCATGGTGTGACTTTAAGTTACAGTCTAGTTAAATTTCTAATGACAGGGGTGTGACTTGACTATGTGAGGAAGAATATCACATAGTTGAAGTGGCAGCTTGGGTTGTTTGTCACACTTCTGTTTCTTGATTTGTTGGGTGTGGTAAGTTGTATGGGAGATTGTAATATTTCATGTAATTGAACAGTGGCTTGTAGCGTTCAAAGGTGCTCTCCCCCCCCCTCCCGGCTGTAACAATTTCCATTGCTTTTGAGAACTTAGACAGGAAATGCTTTTTAAAAACTACAAAATAAGTAACCTCTTCTTCCCTCTCCCCGTGGATATAACTGCAGCCAATGATTTTTTTAAAAAAATAATATTTTTCAACCTCTGCTCCTTCTGTTGTGCTGGTCTTCTTGTCTAGCATCTGTTCTATGTCTTTTCCCACTGACAGCTCCGTGTGGTGGCCATCTGACCTCCCCAAGTGGAATGATCCTGTCTCCAGGTTGGCCTGGGTTTTACAAGGACTCTCTGAACTGTGCATGGGTCATAGAAGCTCAGCCAGGATACCCTATCAAGATTACATTTGACAGGTGATGGCCATTATAGTTCTTAGAGATGATGATGAATAATGACATGTTTGACAGGCATCTGGCAAGTTGGACCTCACCTGTAATGAAGCAAATGGGTTCTTGGCTGGATTACAGGTGATCTCTGGGAAGATCTCTCGCAAATGGCATTCTGTTTAGTGATTAGGCTATAAGACAGCTGTGGGAAATCTTTACTCATCTGGATGATTTGCACCTTAATCCCCTTAAAATCCCTAATTAAGACAGCCCAGTGGTTCCCAAGCTGTGTGCCTTGGCACCCCAAGGTGCCGCCAAGCTCAGTCAGAGGCACCGCAGAATCCTCAGAAGTAGGATTCCATGCAAGTGCTACTCAGGCCAGGTTTCCCCTTCTCTTTCTCCCACCTCACCCCAAGTATCATATGGGGGAGACAGCCAGAGGCCAGTAAAGCAAGGGAGTCCCTAGTCAAATAAGTGTGGGAACTGCAAATCAAATAAGTTTGGGGAACCACAATTCATTCATTACTCCATTTATATGTTAATTTTTTCAGTGCATTTATTACCTGCTTTCGCTCTTGTGAGGGCAATGCAATGTCCATGGCTTTCCTCTCTGAACTTTATCTTCACAACGACCCTGTGAAGAATGTCAATTGGCCCCACTGAGCTTTACCGCAGAGTGAAGACTTTAATCCAGTCCGGTCCTCTAAGCATGACTTTAATCCTGTCCAGTTCTCTACCAAAATGGTAGAAGCTCTCTGCTTGTAACATTTTGGGATTTCATTTTTATTCCATAAACCACCCTGAAAACATTTGCAATTTCTATAAATATATGAAGGATAATAAACAAAATAACCCAAAAACAAACCATAGATGTGATGGATACAAGCAGGTATACAGTCCTCCACTTGGAAGCAGTTCGTTTTTGTTTGTTGTAGATTTTTCGGGCTGTCTGTTCTGAAGGTTTTTCTTCCTAACGTTTTGCCTGTCTCTGTGGCCATCATCTTCAGAGGACAGGAGTTTGAGCTCTGTCTGTGTTCTGGTGTAGCATGTGGGATTTCTAGAACACAGATAAGAGTTTTAACTCCTGTCCTCTGAAGATGCTGGCCACAGAGACTGGTGAAATGCTAGGAAGAAAAACCTCCAGAACACGGCCAGACAGCCCGAAAAACCTACAACAACCATCAGATCCCAGCCATGAAAGCCTTCGAGAATAAATTAGTTTTTTGGTTTTTTGGTTTTAATTTGGAGTGGAACCATAATTTTGGATTTGCAGTCAGAAAAATAAATTTTCCAAGATCTGGTTGAGTCTGACTTAAACTCGATATTGAAATAGCAGGAACAAGGACAGGCATTAGGAAGAGGGCGGATGTTCCAGTTTTTTTTAAGTGTGTGTTTCTCTTGCCCTGTTGCAGATTTAAAACCGAGGTGAATTACGACACGCTGGAAGTCAGGGATGGGAAGTCCTACTCATCGCCATTGATAGGAGTTTATGACGGGACTCAGGTGCCCCAGTTCCTAATTAGCACGAGCAATTTCCTCTACCTCTTGTTCACCACTGACAAGAGTCACTCTGACATTGGCTTTCAGATCCGCTATGAAAGTAAGTCAGAAAAGCAGGTAATTATACCCTTGCCGGGGTTGTGAGATCTCCTTCAAATCTTTGTAGTAGCTGGGGTTTGTGTGTGTGTGTGCGTGTGTGTGCGTGTGTGTGTGTCCCCCCCCCATCTTATCTTCTAGGTTTGCAGTATTAACATCAGATGTTAGAAAAACATGAATCAGGCATGGTTTAAATCTATATCTCAGGGATACGGTGAACTCTTGACAAGCTGAAGGATCAAACACACATGAGGGAACAATATAAAAATGGTCCCAGGATATATTGCAGTAGGTCAGAGCCACCCAGAGCTTTGGGGCATGATTATAGCCTTCACTAGGGAGGTAACAGGTACTCAGCAATTAATTTGCTCTGGGCACAAATCAACCTCCAGAATCCCCACAGAGCTGAGGTTTTCTCAAAAGTGCAGCAGGGGAAAATTTTGAACACTGGGGAGTTTGTTTGTTTGTTTTACCTTCCTGCTGATTTCTTGCACAAGATTAAGCTGGATATTTCTGCGCTGTTTCTGCTTTTCTTTGTCACTGTGGTCAAATTCAGCCTCTTGGACACTCCCTTCTCCCTTAGAGTAGGGGATTGAACATAACCTGTGATAAACTGGCCGACGTAAGATCCTGAAATTGACACAGGCAGCAAAGAGAGAGCAAAAATCCCACAGAGGGCTAGTGGCAGGCACTTCGGGCGCAAGCAGTGCAAGGCTGTCAAGCTAAATCCTGTGCAGGGAGCAGTACGTAAGATTCGTTTAAGGATCGGCAACGAATCCTGCAGAGATTTGTATTGATTGCTATGCAGTGTCTTAGAAAATATGCACAAGAGTTCCCAAGGGGAAGGAGGGGAGCTTAGGGCATTTTGCTGGCTAGGAAACCCCAAAAGAAAAGGAAAAGAAAGAAGAATTTTCCATAGAAACTTTGGGATCAAGAACCTTCTAGAGTGACAACCCTTGTTGTTGTTGTTTAGTCGTTTAGTCATGTCCGACTCTTCGTGACCTCATGGGCCAGAGCACGCCAGGCCCTCCTGTCTTTCACAGCCTCCCGGAGTTGTGTCAAATTCATGTTGGTTGCTTTGATGACACTATCCATCCATCTCCTGTTGTCCCCTTCTCCTCTTGCCTTCACACTTTCCCAACATCAGGGTCTTTTCCAAGGAGTCATCTCTTCTCATGAGACGGCCAAAGTATTGGAGCTTCAGCTTCAGGATCTGTCCTTCCAGTGAGCCTATCTTTCACCTCTGTTCCTGAGAAGGGCATTAAATGCTCTCAGCTTCAGGATCTGTCCTTCCTTCTCTGTTCCTGAGAAGGGCATTAAATGCGGAGAGGTCTTCTGTTATTCTGGTTAAAGTCCCACATTCCTTAGCATGGGTAGCTCAAGAACACACACCACGAAAAACATCCAAAACAAAACCTGGAACCACCATACCTCAAGCACTTGTGCCCTTGACAAGGGCGATAGACTAGAAGACACACACCCCCAATGCGTGGCTCCAGAAAATCCTTTTGAGTCCAAGGCATGATGGGAAGGACATTGAGGGATATCACCTTAAATAGCAGAGATTTTTAGTGTACAGAGAAATGCTATAAGGTCCCATTTCTTCCATGGGTGTCCTTTTTCCACTGGGATACACAATGGGGTGTTTCATTGGTGGAAGAGCAAAGCGCATCAGCCGCATCAGCACTCCTCCTCCTGAAGGGACGGCCTCAGTCCAGCTAATGGTAGGACCGGGCTGGTACCTTAGTTACATCTCACCTGGATTACTGGATTACTTTTTGTGGGGCTACCTTTGAAAAGCATTCATAAACTTCCTCCGGTCCAAACTTCTGCAGCTGGATGGTTGACTGGGGATCAATGACAGGAAATAGATCTACTTCCCTAGTAACAACAGCTCCATGACCCATTTGGGGAGTAAATCTTTACTTCGTTCATTCTCTGAAGAGAGGATGAAAAATCTGAAAGGTTTCTCTCCCGGCTGGGTGAGATTTAGAGAGTTTTTGTCCATCTTTTGTGTTTTGGAATTGTTTAGTCGAAAATCCTCCGTTTTGCATGTAAAATATGTCTTTTGTGTTCTGCATTTTTGGGGAAAAATCTTTTGGAACAAAACAAACCCTGGATTTTTGAAGGCAAAACACAGGGATTCATCCAAAAAAAAACCCCATTTTATTTTGCCAACTCTGCTGCTGAGTGCCCCCTACACACACACAATTTTTCACTCTTCACTAACAGCTCTCGCTCTCCTATTCATTTTCATTGGGATTAATTCAGAAGCAGTCTTGGACCAGCCCATGTACCCATGCCCTCTTTTATCTAAATGTCAAAAATCCCTTTCCCTCTGTTTTTTGCCTGAGTTTTTTGACATGGCACCTTAAAGAAAGGGACATGTGGGAAATTATCTTACATTTTTCATACAGATAGTTTCTTATATCCTACAGAACCTTTTTCCCCTTGGGATTATGAACCTATTATTAGTTTACTTATTTTTATTGTATTACATGACTGGACACTAGAGCTGTGAAGCAGGGATATAAATACCAATTAGATCCGTCCTCCTTTGCTTCACAGGAACAATGGGGGGATTTTTCTTGCCTTGAAATTTGCTTTTGCTCTCTCTTGCTCTCTCCCCTCTTACAGAAGTCACACTGTGGGTTGCTTTTTGTGCATTTGTTAAAATGTGTCATACTGGAAAATATAACTGTCGCCTTGCTGGCTGCATGCAACTACTGGGTGCTGGATATATTTTGTGCTTAGTTGAGGCCAGTCTATAGAAGTGTTCCAACCTCAATTGCCATGAAACGTCCTGTTTTTACTCTGCACCATCTGTGGTTTTTATGCAGCGGTAAAACTCCAGTCTGACCACTGCCTTGACCCAGGGATTCCCGTCAATGGCCTGCGACATGGGGATGACTTTTATGTGGGGGCCCTGGTGACCTTTGGCTGCGACCCAGGCTATACCCTGAGCGACAGTGAAGCTTTGGAGTGTGAACCTAATTTCCAGTGGAGCAGGCCCCTTCCCAGCTGCGAGGGTAAGAGCTGAGAGCCAAAATGTTTGTTGCTGGGGGGGAGGGAGAGGGATGTGGATTCGTCAGTCCCATGTATCTCTCACTGTCGTCATGAAGGCAAGCAAAAGGTTCCTGGATCCCTGGAATGGGGAGGGAGAGGGATGTGGATTCGTCGGTCCCATGTACCTCTCACTCTCATCATGAAGGCAAAGCAAAAGGTTCCGGGATCCCTGGAATCATCTGATCTATCAATCTATTGATTTCCCCATCCCTCCTCTTGCTTGCTTTCTACTATTTGTTCCTATAATGCTTTAGAACAGGGAAGGAGATTTTTACACCCTCTAGATGTTGCTGGAGTACAGCGTCATTGACTACCAGCTGGAGCTGATAGGATATGAGAGGTGGCAGATTCCATTATGTGTGTTCTCAAGGGCTGATGGGAGTTGCAGTCCAATGGTACCCAAAAGGACCACATGTTCTCCATCCCGCTTCAGATAGTCAGTTGCTTCGGCAATGGCCTCATGCCATACTTCAAACTCTCACATTTCTGTGTCCTCCATCAGAACATTTCCTTAGAAGGGATGCTTTTCAAGGGGTCCTCAGTCAACACTAGATATCACCAAGCACTGGGAGATATGCTCCTAGTACTCCTTGGCCATCAATGAACCCTCCTTATGGGAATATCGCAACAGTAAATCTGCTTTGGATTTTAGTCAGAACTTGACAGCACCTGTTGATCATCCCGGACCTTATACCCAAAAGAGGTTCAGCACCTTGGACAGCTATTTTAAAAATTCACATTACAGCCCAAGCCAGTTTTACTGCTGTCCCTAAAATTACAATCATTAGCTTTCACTGCATCACTACATGATTGAGGTACTGCCATGAAGCAGTGTATTTTATGCCTATCTGCTGTTGTTGGGCTCACATTAGCCCTAGCCAACATGATCAATGGTGGCAGAAGATAAGTGCTGGAACCTAAAAACATCTGGGGAGGGCATGTGTTCCCCATCTTCCCTGGGAGAGTTTTATAACTGCACTGTAACTTACAGGCTGGCTGACCCCAGCTGAGCATGAAAGCTGGATTGTGCTTGTTTTGGTAGCCCCATGCATCTTTCCTGTGTGACTACTCACAGGTATGTTATCTTTGTAACCTGAGTGGGAATGGAAAGAGATTCCAGCATTTTGTCAATTGTTAGTGGAATAACCCCTTTCATGCCCTCCATGACCTGTTAGAAAACCAACTATATCATGTTTCATAAATCAACAGTTTTCAAGACTTCCAGCTTCATATATTCATGATGAGATGTACATTTTAAGAAATATGAATGGCTAAAATGCCTACAGTCAAAAATAAGTACTAACACATTTCACTTGGTGGAGAAAAGGTCTATTAAGAATGCATGTTAAGAAAAGTGCATAAATAAATGTGCATATTATAGAAGATGCATATGGAAAAAGCATAGGAATAGGGGAATTAAAACCTATGTCTCTCAACTTGCTATAAACAAGCAATGGAATGGAACAGCAGCGGGATTGATTTAAATATGAGAAATATGAGACAGAACATTTTTTGCATCTCTAAATCTGGGCATGGAGGATGTGAGCAGCTACCTCTGTTTTTCTCATTCTCACCAGCTCTCTGTGGAGGCTACATCCGTGGATCCAATGGCACCGTGTTGTCACCAGGGTTCCCAGATTTCTACCCCAATAATCTGAACTGCACTTGGGTCATAGAAGCTTCTCACGGCAAAGGTAACTCTTGCATCACATATTTGTCATTGTATTTTGATTCCGTATTCAGAGGCTGCTGTCTGCTCTGGTTTCCAACCTGCACTGTCCAAATTGCTGAAATCTATTCTCAAATATGTTCAACAGCTTGGATGTCTCTGGACTCTGCGTCCAAATTGCTGAAATCTATTCTCAAATACTGTATGTTCAACACCTTGGATGGCTCTGGACTCTGTTCTTTTTATCCCATGTGTACTTTGCTGAAGCTCAAGCGAACTGAACTTCATGGATCTCATATTGATTAAGCAGGGTTCCCTTGGCATTGATTTCTGGAATCTGGATTAGGTGAAGAGGCAGAAATATAACTGGGAGTAACAAAATGTGAAGAGTATGTGGTGTGAGCTAGAGAATTCTTGTTGCTCTGAACCCAGTACAGTCTACCTTCTCACGTGAGCATCCAGAGATGATGTATGCTCTTTGAATACAAGAGATACTGGATGTGATAATAATGCTGGGTTTAATGATGGGGATGGTCAAATCACCACCCATAAAGGCCAAGGGAGAAAAAGTTGACAGGATGGTGGATTCCTATAAGGGAACAGAGTGCATCCAAAAATAGGATTGTGGTCAGCTGCTACATCAGCTCCCTGCTGGTTTTGTTGTTGTTTTAACTTACAAATTGCCCCATAATGCTACAGCATTCTCTGAGCAGTGTGTACAATTTAATTATGAGGCTCTACATTGCCCCCATCTCCAGTCTGCAGGGTACTCAACTTGTCATCCTTGGAAGGATGGAATGCTGAGTCAACCTTGAGCAGGCTACCTGAACTTGTCTGGACAAAACTCAGATCATGGGGAGAGGCTTGACTACAGTACTGCAGTTTTAACAACTGTGCCATGGGGATCTGCAACTTGTGATTCCCTTTAAAGACCTCTAAAAGTTCCTATTATTAAAAGCAATACACAAGCCTCACCAGCTAAAGATTGTGACTTCCTGTATGGAGTTAATCCATTTTACGTTCAGTTTTCCTCTTATTTGGAGCTGCCTTCTATTACTATTGCAATCATCTTTTCTCTGGCTAATGCCTAGGCTTCTTACAAGAGCAAGAGCACAGACTTCTCTGCCCTTCCCTTTTGTCTGAGTGGGAGATCAGCCAAGAGGGCAGGGCAGAGAAGCCTCAGCTCTTACAGGGACTGGAAGATCAGTTGAATATCACAGAGGCTGGGCCTGAGGAGTTGAGCCAGAGGGGGCAGGAGAAGGAAGCAGCAGCACCTTTATGAGCCAGGATGAACTGGGACAAACCAGTTCACACACATCTCTATTCCTAATACAGCCTGTTTCTTACATTTCTGCTTGGCCTTTCCTCTTTTGAGTTCAAGACTGTCCTCCGTTTCATCCTCACTACAACCCAGTTACGTAGATCAGTGATTTTTGTAGCTTGGGGGACCTGGAAGTTGGCTTTCCCAAGTCCCAACTGAACACTCAAAGCAAATAATATAACAGTAATAATAATCTTGGAACCGCAAAACTGGAAGGGACCAAATGGCTCATCAAGTCTAGCTGCTGTCAAGGGGGCCCAGTGGGGGAATCGAACTCCCAACCTTTGGCTCTGCAGCCAGATGCCTAATGGGTTAGTTCTCATCATCTTCTCTCTGATTCAGCTCTGCTTGTCTTTGCCCTATGCTGTGAAGGAACCAAAGATACACAGCTGATCCTTCATCACTTCCCCTTTCCTCATCTGACCGTGCTGTATATTTCCTGTAGGACAGCCTTGCGTGTACTGCTCCTATCTCCAACATTGCCCTCATCACTGCAGCAAATTGACACACGCAAACACACACACACACACACACCCTCTCTCTCTCTCTCTCTCTCTCTCTCTCTCTCTCTCTCTCTCTCTCTCTCTCTCTCTCTCTCAAACTTGCTTGGTTCCATTCCGCTCATTCAGGTGGCCTTTAACAAAGTAGGATTTGAAGAAGTGCTGATAGAAAGAGCCTAGCTGTAAAAAGAGAGAGAAGAAGAAAGGGGGGGAAAGTGCACATTCAATTTGAGCTGCCTTCAGTGGCTTCATTCTTCTTGTCTTGCCAGATTCTGACACAATGGGAACCGCTATCAATCAGGTCTGTGATGCCGATTGTATTAAAGCAGATAAACCAGTTGCTGAAAAGCACAGCGCATTAGCGGAGGCGTTACACCGCTGTGCAAGGTACCCCACCGAGTGGGAGCAATCCACTCTTCATTAATCCACTCAGCTCTGGCTTCTCTCGTCTGACAAGAGGCTTCCCATTATCCCACTGCATGCTTAACACACAACACGCAGAGACCGGCGCTCTTGCAAGATGTAATTCAGATGGTGCCTGTTTTCCCAAAGATCAAAGAAAGGCTTTTGGCCACCCTCGGCGAGCAGCATCAGCAACTCCTGCGGGGCAGCACAATCCCCAGGTTTCGGGATCCCTGCACTACAAAGAGGTCACTCCCTGAAATGCCAGGAGTTCTTTCTGTATCCATCTCTGAGAGGGTCAGAGTGGATGATAGAGTGGCAAAGTCGATACGGTTGCTCTAAGCCTTTGTGTAGTGAGACGAGTCTACAGGAGGCAAATGAAGCAGTCAGCAGAAGCTGACAAAGGGAATAGGCCCTGTCGGGGCAGGCAGAGTCCGATCAGTGACCTGGATCCCACAGTGAAGGAAATTGAGGGCACAGCCTGCTACAAAGAAAGGAGATGGGACTAGTTGGTAGGCATGAGATTTCTGGATCCCCCCCCTTCCCTACTATGTCTACCAGAATTCATCAGGAATCCCCCCAGCTAGAATTCTGGAAGCTTTAGCCAAAAAGTCCAAGTTCTCAGAGGCGTTTCAGGATACACACCTGCTCATTGCCAAGGCTCTCTCTATAACAATGGCCATTAAGCATGAGAAAGGACACGGAGATGTTTGGAACTGCAAAGCATTAGCAGGTTGGCGGTTTCTTGAGAGACACCCTTTACAGAGAGACTACCGTCCCCTACTGCTTCACAGTTCCTGTGGAGATTAGAAAGCTCCACCCTAGAGAGAATCTTGCTAGTTGTTACTATATGTTTATTTGCATCTCAGTGTTATAACTGGGTGCATCATACATGGTTCTCATTCCCACTTATAACCTCTTCAGCCCTGAGCTTGGATTCACAGGACTCAGCAGTTGCACAATGAAAGCTGGTGTGCCAGGTGCACCTGTTCCTTGAGATGTCCCATCCTGCCACAGTGACACATACTTTAGTTGCATTTCATCTAGATTACTGCCACATGCTCTGCGTGGCACTGCCTTTGACAAGTGTTCTCAGCTGGTTCAAAAGGCTGCAATCAGACTACTGACTGCTGCTCATTGTAAGGAGCTGATTACAACAGCATCGCTGGCTGCCAGTTGGTTTCTGGACCAAATTCAAAGTGCTGGTGATTACCTATAAAGCCCTATATGGCTTGGGTCCAGGCTGTTTGAAGGATTGTGTCACCTGTATCCATAATATATTGGTCCACATCCTGATGAAGACTAGTAAAGGTAAAGGTTCCCCTTGACATTTAGTCCAGTGGTGCCCAACTCTAGGGTGCGGTGCTCATCCTTGTCTCCAAGCCAACGTTTGTCCAAAGACAGTTTCCACAGTCACATGGGCAGCGCAACTAGACACAGAATGCCGTGACCTTCCCACCGAGGTGGTACCTATTTATCTACAATTTTACATGCTTTCGAACGGCTAGGTTGGCAGGACCTGGGACAAGCAACAGGAGCTCACTCCACTGCGTGGATTCGATCTTACGACTGCTGGTCTTCCAACCTTGCAGCCCAGAGGCTTCTGCAGTTTAACCTGCAGTGCCACCATATCCCACCTGATGAAGACTAGTATATGTTTTTTAAAAATTAGCATTTTTTAAAAAATACAGTGGTCTGTTAAAGATAGATCACCTGTCCTTGCTTTTGTATTGCGTAAGGACTAAACAGCTTTGGTTGGTTGGTTACCCGAGTTTCTGTTTGCTAGACTTTGGTGTTGCTTCTTGCTGCTGATTCTGAATGGCCCTGAGGTAGCATGTCTTGTAACTGTGCCTCAGCCTGCCAGAATTACTGCTCCAGGAAGCAGGACAGGCAGTTTCTTGTGGGAGTTGATTACTGATCCAGTGTTGTGAAGGGAACTTCGCAGTCAAATGAAGATTGGCATCTAGATCTTCAGAGTCTTGGTCCAATGTTGTATCCATTCTACCATATTTACAATATCCTGTCCACATCACAGCTTTGAACAAACTATGGAAGAGCTGTCATGCCCAGTGATGAAACCCAGAGGAGTCTGGCAGGCCAGGTGTTCTTATGGGCCAGGTGGCTGTTTGGCTTTTTTCCAGTAATGTGATCCAGTGCCAAAGAGGTGTAGCGGAAACAGGTAGAGCCAGGTCCATCTCCATCAGAGGAAGGCCACTGTGGCAGTGGTGAGGACACAATGAATTAGGGCTTCCTCAGGGTGTTCAGCTGTCTGAGACAAAGGACAAAATGACACACCCTAATATCAGCATCTGGTTTGGCCTCGCCAGCTTCTGCCACCCGAGAAAACAATGACAAGATGGTCTCAAGACAGGCTGTCTGATCATTAGCGTCTGTGAGAGTTTTAGTTTCTAGTCCAAGCTTTCTGTAATTTGCCCAAAACGCCTCTGCACAAAACGGGCATCTTTTCTGTTTGTCAAGCAGAACACAGAGGGGAAAAAAAACCTGCCTGATTGTATGGCTTTAAAAGTCTCTGTGAGACAGACAGAGTTCTAACTCCTGTCCATTGAAGATGCCAGCCACAGAGACGGCCTAAACGTTAGGAAGAAAAACCTCCAGAATACGGCCATACAGCCCGAAAAACCTACAGCAATCATCTCTGTGATAAGAGGGCAGCAAAGTTGTGTGCAATCTGTCCCATTTGTAGTAAGCAGGTTATGAGCAGTATATGGTCTACCCAAATGAGAAAACACTCTTCCAGCATATCAGAAAGCATCTTGCCACTTGCCAAGCAAAATTAATAAT